CCGGGGCTTGCCCCCGAAGCGGGACAAAGAGCGCGCTGGAGATCAACCAGCGAAAACAGCCACAAGAGACAGCTCCTCCGGGTTTCGTACACAATAAACCCTCCTCCGGGTGGATTCCAAAATCATGCCCTTCTTATTGTATTCTTCCATGGGGATTTCAACAGGGCGTAATTCGACGGTGACACCTCAGATGTCATCATTATAACACTAGCGACGCTGAACCCATCGTTATAACAAATAGAACACGTTCCCATTCTGGGTGCGACCTCTTAAAAAGCACACACAGACAGTACACCCTAGTAAGTAGTATTAGAAGTAGCAGCATTGGTGGTAGCAGTACCAGTCCTGGCTTACTAAAGTCTGGATAGACACCTATTATGGCCGAGTCAAATATCCTACTACCTATTCTTCAACCCTTCTGTACAGAATGCACTCTTCCTGCCACTCTGGCCTTCCCATGACTTCTCTCTTCTCCTAAGGAACTGCGCCTGGAAGATCAGAGCAGTTAAAGCTAACCTTTTTAGCCTTAACACTCCTCGATAGGATCGTTTGGAGGAGTGCTGGAACTGCAGATTTGACTTTGTTCACGCGTACGACTTTCTCACGAATTCGGTGTTGTGTGAAGTAGGAATCGTCGTAGAGCGGTTCCAGTGGTCGGTGAACTCGAACATATCGGAGGTTAACGCAAGAATATATCTTTTGCGACAAGACTCGGAGATCCTTGGGCTGGACGTAGCCGGAAAGACTGTCTGTCTGAAATGTCAGAGATGGTGCCGAAGGTTATTTGGATCCTCAGCTACGTGGCGAGGTGCTCGATATGTCATCTCACCGGGCAGGCGACAGTGGCACCGAACACAATTTCAGCGGCGGAACAGGCAAGCTCAAACTTTATAGCCAAGCGGACGTCCAGCATGACTAGCGGATGCGGATCCTTTCCAAAACGTAGAGGCTATCGCAGTGGCCTAAGTTAATAGGTTAAAGCCTTGCCATTGCCATCTTCAGTTACGGTTCCACGAAGGAAGAGAAGAAGTGAGACGCCAAGTGGGAGGAATAGTACATTCTGTACAGAGGTATTGGAGCATGGATTGGAGGAAGTTGACAGTCAAACGAGTGTGCTTTTGCACCCGAGAGGAGCTGTAGCGCAGGCACCAAGTCCGCAAACCGTCGGGTGACTTCGTTTCTCTATCTGCTACTGGGCTAGCCAACCACAGGTACCGTAGACTGCTATTGGCCAAGCAGTTGATCAAGCGACCAATGACTCACCCTTACATGACTTTTATCCATTCACGCCCACACAACGCCAGCAGACAGCCGTGCGTGCAGGGCCCGGGGCCTGCCGCGCGTCGGGGCTTCAGACCATCACTGACTTCCTGTACACAATAAACAACTTCTACTGGTCTTACCCCTCTTCTTTCTGTACGAAACTGGGCGTAATAATTGTAGTGCTCTGAGCAGACTCCCGGCTTAGACTCCTACAAGGCGGCATCCGAACTGTGAGAACGAGGTAGTCATCACGACGTCTACAGCACGTTCATGGCTGAGGTGATTGGCCAGACTAGATTGGAACAGGCAGATACCGTTGTGTGTGCCCACGTGCTATCAGCCGCGAGAGGCGAGCGTTGCGCGCTGACTGGGGTCAATACAGTCCCATCCACGAAGCAACAACTGACCACCCCACTTCGTGCCTTCACCATTTGGGTATAGTCCTTATTTTCTACATAGATATTTGCATACTGGGAGTTGTCAGGGTATCTAAATGCGACAGGCTCCTAAACGAGGGGGCGGATGGAGGGTAGGCCTAGAATTCTTAAAAGTTATGTTGGCATCGGGAATAGGGTTTGACTATCAGAGCTCGTTGTGAATTCGATATTTAAGTCGAAATCGATTGGCATTGGACTTATTACCAGGGCAAGGGAAAGTTAATCAAATGCTAAAGTGGCAGTACTGCTATGGTATATACGATCGCCATGGAATAGTAGGATCCCATTGGCCCTAACGTTTGGATCAGCAAAGGACTTAGGACTCACGACCCTCTATAAGAAAAATACGCGATGTGCATGGTGGTAGTATTCAGTCTTATGCGTCTCTATTGTTAATCCGGGAACGAGATTTGAGTTACGAACTTGCAAAAATCGCCTACCTGCAACTCATAATTAATAACGATATCAATAAATGTCCCTTGGAGACCGTTGAAGAAACATGCGAGACCCGAAGCATCCCATGGACGTCCTCGTACATGGCATTCACCTGCATGCATTTCGCTGAAATATGTATTCAATAACATTATCGATCAGAAACGCGCAAAGCTGAACTACCACTTTAATTCTTGAACTCCATTTCCTACCGGAGGGTATACAAGGTCCTGAATTTTATCTTTAAACAAACCATCCGATATTTTTGGATTTGTAGCTAAAATAGACAAAAATCTTGACTTAGACCGGAACTAGGAACATGGGGGGGGGAGAG